GGGAAGCAACTTCGACTACATTTTTTCACTTTACACTTACGTCTAAAAATTTTCTTCTCTGCCTATCCTATTTCCCCAAGCCCCAAAAATCTATAACCACCGTTTTTGCAGGACAAAATTTTGGGACTAGGGGTATATGAGTGGGCTATACAAGCTACTTTTGCCGAATACGTTACATGGAATGAAATAGTACTGTCTGCACCCACTTGTGTGAGATCTGTGAGCTCTCGCTACCGCCCCTCTCATATCGGCCTGTTTCCGTATATGAGACTTCGTCAAGCGCTCTTGACTGAATGACAATCTCGCTTTTGTACAGAGTACAGTTCAAGGTGGTGGCTTGAATTTCGAAAAATATACCTTCTCAGCCTGTACAGGTCACGGTGCGTTGAATAGGTCTTTGACCAGGATCATACCGCGTTCTCAGTAACTCTGCCCATAAAAAGCCTTCGAATTACAATAAATACCCTAGTTAATGAAACTGAGGATTTTCTACAAGAAACCTAGTGATAATGAAAATGAAAAGATTCACTTTTCTCTGTATACTGGAGCATTTTCCGGTATATTTGTTTACTTTACGGTTCCATTATAAGATTGAGCGTGCGCAACAGAGGGGCAGAATACATACTATACGTTTGCGAAAAGTGGTAAGTTTCAAGTATTCGTATTCCTTCATACTTAACTGCAGATAGAAATTGTTTGGAGATCTTTCCTATTTGGCGTAACAGAGCAAGGGCCGGCATGTCGCATGTTTATGCTTGTTTACGGTCCTTTTTATAAGTGTGGTAAAACAAACTACAGCCGACAATGGTTAATACAATGTTTATGCCATAAAAAGTAACGAATGGGCAAAATGGGATTTTTTAAGCCGAATTAGTTTTTCCTTTCTCGAAAACAGTGCCATTTCTCCTATTTGCATTTACTTTATTTTTATAAGGGCAAAACGAAATTTGCCGTTTTCTGAAAAGATGCAGTTAAAACATGTTGAGCTTATATTAGTGTTCTTTTGTGACATAACCTGCATAAAGAAGACGTTTCTTCCGCAGTGTTTAGTTGCGTATGAAGTTCCTTGCTTGCCTCTTTTTTTCTTCAATACACTGATCCGAACTGAATTATTTTCTAATAAACAACATTTTTTTGTTTCACTTCAATTCAATGAACGAGAATAAACAACCTCAAATGTGTGTTAGCCCCCTTAAACTTCGATCTTCAGATATCATGAGTTAGCAATCTACTGTACTCACAGTATTTTACTGGTTCAACTTTAACTCGTATTGTAAGGCTTCACCCAAATACTATTTAAAAATGCCTTGCTTAGACAACAGAGAAGCAATTTTAAACGCTTACAAGAGAAAGTGATCTGAGTGCCATCGTCCAACAGGCTGGAAGTTAGATGGTAGACAGACAGCCTGCACGAGAATCGGGCGTGGTCTCTAAGGTGACCTAAATCATCCGTGGCTCTGCCCTCTAGCCACCACAATCATTTGTTCCTTTTGGCTTCTTCTATAGCTAAGACTCATCCAGAGAATACGTGGTCGAAAAAGACGCGAGGAGAGGCTAGAGAGAGAAAGAGCTCAGCAGCAGAGTGTGAAGCTCTGCGAGGTGAACTCTTCTTCATCATCATCGCGACGCCAGGACTCCAGGCGACATCAGAGGCAGCAAGAACTCACCAAACGCCAACACCGGTTCAGAGATGCGCTGGGGCAGCTGGTCACTGCTGTTGCTGCGTCCTCGTCCGCCGACGTAGTCCCAACTCCGTCGCTGGGTTCTGAGGTCTGGCCTCCGCCAAGGTTGGCCTCTCCCGGCTACTCCGACCCCTCCGAATGCCCACTCTCGTTTCTCAGTCTTCTTACCAGCATCAAAGTCCCGTCGCCACCGGTGGTGGGGACAGATAGGTCTGCGGTCTCGACGCAGGAGTTGTTAGTGGACATCAGTTCGCCCGGACTGCAAACCAACTATTCTGGCCTCCACTCGGTAATTTGTGCAGCTTAAATTCTGTTATTCGTTTGTTACTGCCTGTAGATAAGTTCAATCCGACCCTTGGACCGAATTGTGTTCGTAGTGGTGTTTTAAATATAAACCAGAAGGTTTCCGGAACATCAGTACTAACACAATTCGGTCAACGAACTCGCCTCTTTTCTTCGTTTTCTTCGGGAGATGATGGTAAGATAAGATAGGTGAACTTCGGGTGTGTATATAAATAGACCTGCCTTATCGCATTGGCTCGCATCTCGTCCATTTCTCCCTGAGGCTTCTGTAAGAAGCATCCAACTCGATGTGCCTGTTTATGGATGATGTGTCCACGTGCATGGTCTCGAGGAATTCTGGGCCTTTCTCGAAAGGACAGACAGCGACAGCACGAGTTTTGTCTTACGCAAAGGCGTACTCGATGTTTAAAGTATGCAAGGTGATTTGGGACAGATGGTCTCGTCTTTTCACCGCCAATGGATGTTCATGAATGCGGGCAGAGGCGGATTTTCCAGTCAGACCCCAAGAAACCGCACCGCACATCCCCACGGGATTCTATAAACAACTTCTTTCTTGTCCAAATAGTTAACATAATATCATAAGGGTGTACTATTTGGGTGCGTAAATATATATATGCATAGTACTTTCATCATCCGCGGCAAAGGAAGAAGAAGATAGGGCAATTCCGGAGACCGAGTTATATTTAGGCTGACGTTTCAAAAACATTCTCGTTTTCATCGTCAAGGCATACTTTCTATTCTCCTGCCGGCGTCAGATGAGTGTCTTACCGCTAGCCTTGTGTTATAGCCGTGCCTGATGCCCGCACGTCGATCGATTGCTGGTGGCTGTTTGAATTATTCTCGCCCTCGCGGACTCCATGTGAAGATATGTCACGTCGTTCGTGTGCCTCCTGCTCGTTTCCACCCTCTGTCCGGCTGTCGGGCCTGCGTATCTTCTTTCGCCCGACCTATTGCTCCATTCTGAGCGAACGTTTGCTTTGTGCAGATCACTTGTTAGACAGGATGAAGGTCTATGGGTATGTTAAGTGTGCCAATCGAGGACCAACTTTCTAGCAGCAATCTGGCCATCTGGTTACTGGCTTGGCCTACTACCCTTGCTTTCCCAAAGGCGAACGTGTGATTCTTCTGCTGTACGTGGTCATAGACTATAAACAGCTTACTCTTGCGGTTGATTGTGAGCTGATGCTCATGCAACTTTATTGCGATTGCTCGTTTCAACAACATACATTACATCGTAGTTTTGGCATGTTACGCTGTAGACCACTGCTGATTGTTCGGTCAATTGTAGCGGGTCTTTGGGCTTCAAGATCTGCTGTCTTATGGTTGATTCTGGCCTATGAGCCACACCGACTCCGAATAGTTTCAGGATTCTTGCAGTCGCCTCTGATATGTTCTTCACATAGGGAATGGCGAGCTAGTTCAGCAGTGTTTTGAAGCTCTGCACTTTGCTCATTTTGATAATAACGAAAGTGTCTTCGACGTATCTAGCCCAGAACTTCGGGTAGATGAGCTGAAGAACAACCGTTCCAGCCTCTGCCGAAGCTGGCTTATTAACTACAAATGGCCAATCCGGTCTCCCTAGTCTTTTTCGGTCTGAAGTCTTAGTCTTTGTTTGTCTGAAGTCACTAAGCATGTCATCTTGGAATTTTGTGGTGTTAGGACCTGTGCTGTCTTTCTTGTCAATTTTATTCCGATAAGATGATCTTATATGTAGGTCAAACGAAAGTACCTGTCACTATAGAGCTGTAGGACTTCGTGACTAAGTACACAGATAGACATCTTACTGTGACAAAGGCAACTACCTTATTTTTCGCAACATAGGGTGCACTGGATTATACCGCGTATTGCCAATGAATCGCTTATTTTCGAGCTGCTTTCTTATACAAAACGCACCGGAATATAAGGCGCAGTAAGGGAAGCAAAACAGCTAGATGAGTCATTCAGTCAAACTTTATTGAACGCGTTCACAATAACGCTCAACATGGTTCAAACGTTAATGGGCTTATTCGCAATAACTCCCAATCTCGTTCAGTTGTAACACGTAAAAAACGCAGTCTGATACCGCTAAATCCATACCATCGATTCATTAATGTTAAATTCCCTCGCAGTTGCTCTATTCCAATGTTTTACTGCGTGACTGATAGCCTTGAGTTTAAAGTCCGCGTCGTAAGCGTGTCTCTTGACAGATGCTTATTTGGGGTCCATACACACACACACTGTAATATTATGGTGAGGCACAGTATATATTAATCCACGACGTTCTTGACTACGGATTAACGCAGCGCCGTGTACTATGCAAAATCGTTTCGAGGCCAGTAACCAGAATTAATTAATATATAAGGCACTCTGGGTTATAAGGCGTGCTATCGTTTTTTTGAAAAAAATTAGAGGCTTTTAATTGTGGCATACAGTCCGGAAAATGCAGTACAGCCAAACAAATGTCTGGAGTGTTAAGAAAACCCTAGTCAGCATTCGCGTACATATAAACCTAGTTCCATGGAAAAAGGCCGGCTACCTGTACCCATCGCCATATTTAGATCGCTTTCTCTGAAAGATACAAATATAATATTATCTATAGTTAACTATTCGAGGTAAAAGCACTAGTAGGGGTATTAGTCATTACTCTATTAGGGGATGCCGCAAACTAATGCGTTTTATACCATCCTAATTTGAATGTTATTTATTAAATGTGTATGCCAATTCGATCTCGCCTCCGGTCTTTTTGACTCCGTCTTGGCATTGGGCATAGGTGGGTGAGGGAAGAGAGAATTTGGTAAATGCAACGCAAGTCTACTATCACTGAAACTTAATCCAAGCATTAGTCACTGTCTCTTAACCACCACGCTGTAGAACACACCGTGAACATCCTCTGAATCGACAGTTGAACTGTCAGCTTCCTTTGCTGCAAGCGGTTTTTAAATCAGTTGGGTCTTGTTTTTGCATATTTTAGTATATATTTTGTTTCTTTTTGAAATTATGCCTAAAATTGATGCTATAAAACCCGAAAGCAATCATTTTTGTCATTGAGTGCTGTAATAATTAAGCATGGTAACCAACGTAACCATAAAAAACCCCAAAACAAGGTGTGATACTCATTTGAATACTTTAAATGACCGGTAGTAGCAGCTTTAGTTCACATAGTTATGATCCGGTAATTCCGATCTTTGAGACCTTCATCATCCGAGAATACCGGTGGAGCTGGACGCCAGAGTTGGGGACGATCCCTGTCAAAACATCGAGGAATCAACATAACAAATTTTCGTAAAATGCTCATCTGCCTAAACTACTAGCTGTTGTGCGGCTGCTGGTGGGGCTCATGTGTGAGCCCCTAGACAGAGCGAGGCGATTGAGTTCGGTTAGCGATTTGTGAACGTTCAAAAATGAATATAAAAAATAAATTCAACCCGGTCTTCTGTTTTGAAGGACCTTTTAGTAGATGTCACAAGTCAGTAGACAAGGCATTTCAGTTCCACGCCACCTGTTTACAGAAAACAAACTCCAACGTTCCGCGATCTGTGAAGCTCTGCTAATTGGACAACAGAACTTACACCTTCCTCATCCAATTATCATCTGAGACAAAAATGAATTATTTACGTTAATAAGAAACGCTAGCAACGATAGCTTTCCACATTTTGGACACATCGAAACCACCTTCATACTACAAGGAAATCGTGTTATGTCTAAAGGAAGCTCCCTCCGTTCAATGTCTTACCTTAGTCAGTAGAAAAAGTGTCATTCTGCTGCAACACAACGCAAGACCACATTCGGCCCAAAATACACAGAAAGAGATCCCAGATTCATGGCTGTACTCCTTGCCCTCAACAGCCCTAGCTACATGATAGTTCGTCAATTGCTATCCTTTATTCAGGTCTCAACAACACTCCCTGGACATCAGAAGTTTGCAAATATCAATGAAGCCAAAACCAGGCCGTCGGAGTTATTTTATACAGAACTTATCGAAAACTAAGTTTGATGACGATTAGCAGGGGTTCATAGCGATGGTGACTATATAACTGATAAATAATAAACTTCTCTCGATAAACAACTCCCCTGTCATTTTTAACAAAGCTGCTTTATTTTTCCTTACTCCAAATATCTTTTTTTATCGTAGAAGCCACTATTCGCACGATTTTTCTATGGAAGATACTAGTCACGCCATCCCTATTCCTTTTTACAGTATTTACAATAATGCCCGCTTGGTCTATTTGGGTTGCACCTTATGTGGTTTGTTTCTTAATACCATATTTGATAGTATGTTTTTTGTTGATGTGGTGCAGCATGGAACATTATAACATACGTGATCTGCGCTTTTACGCAGTCGATGCTTTGGGCAGGCGTTACTAACCTGCCTGTTTTTATACGATTTTCACAGGGTGAGTAAGCACAATTTGATTTATACTTACTTCTGAGAGGATAAACTTGTGATGTAAACACGATATCTAATAAGGATTAAGCTAAGAGAAAGAGGTAACGCGGTGCTACCTTCAAAACTTTGGCGGCGAATTCACGCTCGAAAATGAGGGAGGGAGGTTTCCGACTCAAATCTTCTTGTCACGACAATTTAATGTGGTATTTATCTAAATGCTTTAGATGACCGAAAATACGAGCATTAGCTCACGAAGCTCCAACCGATATTTCTGATTTTCATACTCTGGGAATACCAGTCCAGCTGGATAATGATGTTTGGGGTGCAAGAGTTGAAGCAGATCCTCTTGGGGCCATAGAGGAATGGACAAAAAAACGGCAAAGACGAGGAGTTTGGGCCACACGTCAACTTTTGATAGAAAACAAAATCCAGCGTTCCACAATTTGTAACTTTTTTCCAAGCAATCAAGTGGGGTGAGACTGTCTTTCTAAAATTGTCATTTCAGACGTAAAATAGACTCTTTAGGTTAACAGCAAGCACTAATGGCCTTCCACATTTTGCATCTCGGACACTAGTTCCTTCACCGAAACTAGACTCATACTCCAATGGATTCGCGCTTCGTGCTTGACTGAGTATTG